GTGGGTGTGTGAGCATGAACTTTGAGTTGTAAGAGAAGCAGCCATTCAAGCAGCACAGTGTGGGTGGTCTGAAGGGCTTGGTAAGTGATCTCCAAGTTGGTATGACGAGCTGAGGCTGGCCAGAGCAGACTCCCAGCAAGTCCAGCATCACAGTAGCAGATGCTGCAGCAGGTCCTGCATGCCGTAACTGACCCATGTAGACAGCAGGTTAGCCAGGCCAGCACTTAGGAAGACATGGAGAGAGGAGGCAGAGGCATTCAGAGTGGGGGTGAATACGCTGCATAATGCTACCCTCAGGCCTCCAGAAAAGGTCAAGGCCCGGGGACTACAGTGAGAATTAGAAGCAAACTCTGCAAGTACGGTGTGAATAACATCCTTCGATAAACGGATTTCTACATGCTAAGAAACCATAAGTAGGCCCGGCGAGGTGGCACACAACTGTAATCCCAGCACTAGGGGAGGCAGAGGCAGGCAGATCTCTGTGCATTCAAGGCCAGACTGGTCTACAAAGCAGATCCAGAATAGCTAAGGCTACGAAGAGGAGCCTTAAAACAACAAACAAAGCAAAAAGAACCTATAAATAATCCAGTTAAACTAACCATTCATTCATTCATTCTATAGATGCACACGCCGAGAGCCATGGCATGCTCTTGTACCTATGCTGGAAGCAAAAGACAGGGTGTGTGCTGGGGGACAGAGACCAGCTCTGGGGAGAGGACGGATAGGCCAGCAAGGACCTCAGAAGAATGTCAAACTGTCATCTAAAAGGGGGCGGGGAACAAGTATAACTAGCCCCAAACCAAGCCAAGTACACTTCCACTCACCTCTGCAAGAACTGAAGAATGTGTTGCTTAGTCTTGACTACAGAGCTAGTTCAAGGCCATCCTAGACTATAGGAGACTCTATGTTAAAAACTGAGGCAAGCAAACAAACAAACAAAACCAACCTTACTTGAGTCCTACTGAAGGCACAGGAGGAGATAAATCAAACTTGAATACCAAATGTGAATGCTATGGCCCAGCCAGCTGATACTATTCATAAATACAAAAAAATTTAAAATATTTACAAAAGGAACATACAAAGTAACACTGAGATGCCCAGCTGTCCAAAAAAAAAACCAGGGAGATACCCCTGCTGTCCAACAGGAGTGGGCAAGCATCAGCCTAGGGCCCAGGAACAAACTGACAGAACCAGGAAGAAAAGCACATACCAAGCAGTATGCTTATAAGGATAAGAAAGATAGGCATTTTAAAAATTCATAAACATATAAAAAAACTAATAACATATTGTTTTAATCTTTGTTTTGTATTTTTTAAAGATTTATTATTTATTTATTTATTCAGTATACACTATTCTGCCCACATGTGTGCCTGTAGGCTCCAGATCACAATATAGATGGTTGTGAGCCACCATGTGGTTGCTGGGAATTGAACTCAGAACCTTTGGAAGAATAGCCAGTGCTCTTAACCTATGAGCCATCTCTCCAGATCTTTTTTTTTTTTTTTGTGTGTGTGTGTGTGTGTGTGTGTGTGTGTGTTTTAAGAGAAGGAAAATGTTATTAAATTAAAATAAAGTAGTAACAGTATCTGTTCCTTGTAAGTCCTTATGTTTCTCAAAGCTTTTTCAAGCATCTCATCTGACTTTTATTTTGGGCAGGACTGGGCTTGAACCCAAGGCCTAGACATGCTAGGCAAGCCCTAGCATTGAGCTATATAACCAACCACGTAACTTAAGTTTTGCAGCAGGTGCCACTACCTGCTACGCCATTTCACCAGCTACACCCTGTAATTTTTTATGGAACTATTCAACTGCGATTTTGCAAAATGCATACCTACCGCAAAGACAAGCCTTCCTTTCCCAGACCATCACTCCCCAGTGCCTCTGGTAACATGTAACTGGTCTCCCCAGTTTGAAGCAGACATAGATCCATGTTTATAGGCAGTGGCTTTTTACAAGTACTTTTACAGCATGATGTTCAAGCTGCTGATGTAATATTGTAAAGAAGCATATGGGCATTAATTTTAAAAGCGGCCTAAGTTTTCCATCTCAGGGCCTGGCTAACTTCCTTGGCTGTGTGATACTAAACATCTGAGATAATGGTTTTCCTTATGAAGCCTCTACGGCAAAGGCTGCTGTCTGCCTCTTCTACGCTCATCTGTGGTAAGAGACCCTGATTATTAGTCGGGCTACCTTTCTATTTCCAAGCCCTTCTTCAACTAGCACATTCTGGCCTGTTTAATGCAAGAAAGCGGATTTAAATGGGGCTTCTGGGCAGCTACCGGGCAGGGACTCAGCTGAGGGAGGCAGAACCTTCGTTCTTTTCCTCCTCCTTCAGGCCAGTACCTCGATCAAATAATGGGTACCCTTCATGGCCATCTTGGACTAGAAGGAAATAGTGAGGATGAAAGCTAGGTGCTGAGATGAAACATAAGAAACAGGAGCCTGGAGCCCTGAGCACACTGTGCAGCTGCCCTGGAACCCTCAGACTTCTTTTCAAAGGCAGCTGAGGCTATCTCTCAGTTGCTGCCATTCACTGAGACCAACCTACACCCAGTGCCAATCACATACTAACAAAAGACATTCTACCCCGACACAGCCCACTGGCAGTAAACAGCAAATGCGAGCAGCAGGTGACCCAGCTAGGAAAACATTCTCATCGGCCACTTTTTACTAGGACCTTAACAACTGGATGCCACTGCTACCTTCTCCTCTGTACACACACAGCCATATTCTGTTCTGGACCAGTTCAAGCTCCACTAGCATACACTTTCTGGTATTCTGCCCTCATATGACAGTTGCCAAATATCCAACCCTCTGTAAGCCCTAATAAAAACAAAGAGAAAACAGAAGAGTGTCCCCATGTCTAAAAAACATGAAGAAGTCACAATTCCCAAAATGGAGGCAATGAACAAAGTGGGCAGCATACCATTTCTGAAATGACTGCAGTGGGGTGATGCCGCCTTTGGGCTCATGCTGCCAGACACAATCCCAGGCAAACACCCTCCCACAAACTACTGCTCACAGGTAAGAGCTACAGCCTATACCGACATGGGCACCAACGGGGCAATCCCAGTTATGCCTTGACAAAGTCCTTTCAGAGACTCCCTATGCAGAAGCTCACGCCTTCCCTGAAAGCTCTCTGCTTTCAAGGACAGACAGAACCAGAGCCCTGGCTCCTGGAAAGTGACATAAAGTCTCCAGCCCTCTCCTACAAACAGCACAAGTTGGCAAGGCAACATCTTCACAAGAGCCTTGTTTTCACAACAATAATCTTGTAGAAGGTAAAACCTTCTACATGTAGCTTCAGATTATGGTCAAAGTTTAAACTTTGACACTTCCATTATCCTGGCCCAGATTTCTCAGTGGGCCGAATTATGTAACATCACTGTGCCCTACCTAGCTTTCAGAATGGTAAGGAGAGAAGAAAAAGTTAGAGAATTCAGTTTCTACATCACATTTTCTACCAATGCATCTGCTGCCTCTTCTCCCACCACCTAAAGCAACCTCTGGGCTGAAATCAGTCACCAAAAGTTTTAATTCAATAAATATATATAAAGAATGGAGTATTGGAGAAAGGATTAAAAAAAACAACATAAAATCACAGCAAAGAAAAAAGGGGAGGTAAGATTTTATCTCATATAACTCAAATCCTTCACACCCACCATTAAATTCCATACCTGTTTATATTTTCGAAAAGAGGATGTTTTCTATTAAGAGGAAAGAAAGTTCAGACTGAAGGGATAACGAAAATAAAGTCCATTTAAAAGCAACTGCAAAGTATAGTGTCTCTCTCTATAGCACTCTTTCTACACACACACTTCTTAAATGTCAACACCTGTCCTGAGCTGGGCAAGTAGTGGTGCACACATTTAACCTCAGCTCTTGGATGGCAGAGGTCGGCAAATCTCTGAGTTTGAGGCAGCCTGGTCTACACACAGAGTGAGTTCCAGGATAGCCAAGGCTACACAGAGAAACCTTGTCTCAGAAAACCAAAAAGAAAGAAAAACAAAAAACAAAAAGCAGACAAACAAAAATACCCATTCTCACTAAGGAAAAGAATTGCAAACACTTCCTTCTTTTGCATTTTTTAATTCTCTACAGCAAATTGTGAATTCATTTTGGAAAGCAGACTTACAACAGCACTGACAAAAAAATGATTCATGTTAGGAACAGGTCAAATGAAAACAAGGTCTGAAGAACTGGGCTCAAAACAGACAGATGCAGAGAGGAGTCCCAAGAGCCTATGTCAGCCCCAAAGTTCTTTGCCTGAAATACCCTCCTCTCGGGAACATAGTACTCAAAATCTTACACACAAACCATTAGTCACTTGTATCCTCTCTGCAGTCAGCCTGGACAAGAGAGAGCACCAGGAAGCAAATTCCTAGCTGTTCTGCCAGCCCACGTGCAAGACTGAAGTCTCTACCAACTTATCATTTAATTACACCTAACACTGACTTTACAGGCCACTTTATGGATTCCATGCATTTAATACACAGTTACTTCTCGGTTCCCTGCAATTACACAGTGGTTATGGAATTCATTAATAGCACCCCTGGGCTAACAGGAGGTCTAAAACAATGCTAGACAGGTCACACTCTCCAAATTGACACTGCCACCTGAACAGGGACACAGTTAAACACACACCCTTCTTCTCAGCTCTCCAGTGAGCTGAGATGTGGAGGTGAAAATGTAGACAGGTGTAGAGGTTTGCCTTCTCTGCTACTTTAGAAAGGGGATATCTTCTTTTGGGAGATTACATACACATTTCCCACAAGCAGGAAATAAATATATCAGATTTAAAACACTGCAACTCTGCCTGCTCTTATCAGTTCACAATTACCCCAGACCACTCAGGCGCCTCATTCCTCTTACTCCACATCATCACTCAGTGGTAGAATGCTTTGATGTAGGCTCCACTGGGGACCCATGCCTACTAAAGCCACAGAGTGGGGGTGTGGCTGCTCTTCACACCCCAGCCCAGCCCAGCTCGTCATACTCACTGTTGCTAGACTTAAGGTCTCGGTGAATGATGGGGACGATTGCCTCATCATGTAGGTAGTTCATCCCTCTGGCGATCTGCACAGCCCAGTTCACCAGGATGTCCGGAGGAATCCTCTTCCCAGACAATACTCTGTTCAAAGGCCCTCCACGAGCAAACTCCATGACCAAGCACAGGTTGGGTTCCTTCAGGCACACCCCTCTGAGGGCAATGATGTTCGGGTGCTTCAGCATGGCAAAGAGCTTGGCCTCTTGGCGAACATTCTCTATGGTCTGGCTGATGTCCTCATCAGGGTCATGACGAGCTGCTTTCACGGCGACCTCGTCGCCTACCCAGAAAGCACGATAAACTTTCCCAAAGCCCCCAATGCCGATGATCTCCTCCAGGGTTAGCTCCGAAAAATCAATCTCTAACACTGAAAGAATAAAACAGAAAGTCAACAATGTACTTTGAACAGCGTATAACTAACCAAACTTCCACTGGATGGGCAAACAAAGCCACCATAGGTAAACGGGCCTCTCTGTCTCCCCACTAAGAAAAGTCCATAAGCTATAGGGACTGTGGTTAGCTCCGTGAGCATTATTCTCAGTGACTAGCAAATAACAGATGCCCGATGGGTATTTACTGTAAAGTACATCCACCTTGGATTATCAGAAGAATCCTGTACAACGGCTGCCCCATTTCAACTCAAGGAATACTGGGACAACCTTCTTTGAAAATCGCTTGGGTTCATTTGTTCTTAGTGGTGGGAAGCAACAACCCAGGGCTAAGCAGGCGCACAGGTTGGTTTGCAAACAGCTTCTGTAGAAATATGATCAGTAAATAAAGAAGGGCACTGACTCCCACAGCAGGAGGGGGGAGGTGAGTAGGAAAGGGATGTGTGAGAGGGCCCTAGAAGAGAAGAGGATCTCAATGAACAATGAAAGGGATGGGGTAAAGGGCAGTCTAGGCAGAGAGGACATGAGCAGGAACATGGGGGCTCAGGGTACATAACATGTGAAGTACATCAGGAAGTCCGCAGCAGCTGGACTGTGTACTGGGATGAGATAAGACTCAAGCTTGCTGGGGTGACCTGGTGGTAATAAGCTTTTGAGCAATTCTGAAGGGCTTAACAACACTCTATAAGAAACAAGGGCCACGTACGTACGTACCCTTCAGAAGGGGAGTTTTGTGGTTTACAAAGGACACCGACTCTGAAAGCCATGTGAAATACAATGGAAAAGAAAATCTGGAGCGGTGGTTCTCAACCTTCCTAATGTGCGACCCTTTACTGCAGTTCCTCGTGTTGTGCTGGCCCCCAGCCATAAAATTATCTGTGTTGCTACTTCATAACTGTAATTTTGCTACTGTCATGAATTATAATGAAAATGTCTGATATACAGGTATCTGATATATGACTCCTATGAAAGGGTCAGTTGACTCCCAAAGGGGTTGAGACTCAGGTTGTGAACTGCTGGCCTGAAGCCAAGAGCCACTAAGGGACTGGGATGCAGCTCAGTCAGTAGTGCCTAGCATGCATGAAGCTCAGGGTTTAATCCACAGTACTGTAGAAAGCAGTGTGGTGGTGCATGCCAATAATCCTACACTAAGGAGAAGAAGACAGAATCCTAAGTTCAGGGTCAACCTAAGCTCCACAGCCAGCTTGAGGCCAGCCTGATCTAAATGGAGACCTTGTCTCAAAAGAAAGAACCATTAAGAGGGCCCTTGCAGTGACACAAACCTGCTGAGCCTCAGAGGTACTGAACATGGAAAGAACTGAATCCACGTGAAAGACTTCCAGGATCTGGTTCCATCAGGGTCTGGTTCCCAAGAGGTATAGGAAAGAAGCCACGTGAGGAACATCAGCGCCTGAAGCCAATCCCTGACAGTCACCTCAACAATTCATTCCGCCTCTGAGGCCTAGAATCTGAGCCTAAGGTATTGGATACACCTTCAGAAGCGTTGGCAAAAGCTTTCACAGACAGGTGCCAGTGATTACAACTCTCCGGCTAGATTTGATGTTAAGAAGTGAACACAGTCCTGCTTCATGTGTTTCTCCTAAAGCCCTGTTCTCTGTTCTCTTTTGGCTGATTCAGACTCATCCCTCACATGTGAACTTAAATGCCAACTTCACAGAGAAACTTCCCCTAACCTCAAGACCAAATGTGGGCAAGCTCATCAAATACCTTTGCAGCTAACTCCATTCTGCAAGACTCATCAAGGTTATCACTAGTTAATTACTCATTCACTGCCTATCACCTGTGACTCTATGACAACCACAGGACGGAAACTCTGTCTGCCACCACTGTGCTCACTGGGCCAAATATTTAGTGGGTGAACAACAAAAGGAATTTACCTAGGTAGGGCATAAACAATCTAGATCTGTTTAAAAGGGGTGGGCAGGACTTCCGGAAGAGAACAACCACATACTTTACCAGGAAAAACAAAACCAAACCTAGGAAAACAAAGATGCATTTGTAGATTTTTGGCAAGAGCAAACTGGATGACTGTTCTTGTGTGGCTGGCCCCATCACACCTCACTCTTCATTTAGATGCTAGTGGCACTCAGATTTTTGTTCTTGCTTAATTATAGTACTTCCAGTCTTCCAGTGTTCACTTGTATTTTGCCATGCAACTGTCTATCTACACCAAGGAAACCCTCAAGAAAAGTCAGGTGGACTATCTTTATGCACACAAGAAGGAGAGTCCATCTTGATCCCCAAAGTTCATTGCGGCTAATTAACCCCTTGAGGATGCAGTGGAACTCCAAGTGCAGCAGGCAAGCACATGCTTAGTACTTGCACCGTCCTGGTTTCAGTCCCTGATAACATGAAATAAAGAAGAGGGGGAAAGTTATTGTCTCTTAGGGAGGGGGGTCCTCCTGAGGTAAAAAAAAAAAAAAAAAAAAGGACATGGAAGAAGCTGCAGAGTAGCAATCTGCACCTATCCCAATATCCTTCTAGCACCTCACCTTTTAGTACCAGAGGTTAGAAAGCTAAGAAACTACAAATCCCAAGATCCCTTGCTGCAGTTACTGGATGTGAATTAAGAGAGACACAAGATTTGCAAAACAAAGAGAGATGGAGACTATTTTCTGGCTGCCTCTCCTGGCAAGAATGGCAGTCTGCAGCAGCATGTCAGTGTCCAGTCACCAACTCCATAGCTGTGCAAATAAATGATCCATAGTGAAGTGGCTGCCATCCTCCGGGCTGCAGACACAGCAGGGTGTTCCTGAGGCAGCTCCAGATGCTGAGCGTTGTCTGTGAGAACAATACCAAGGTCTTGGTGGTTCAGCCCAGAGCGCTCTCCAGAAGAGCCTCTTCTCCAAGCCAACAATTCTGCAAGCACCCAATTTCCTGTGCTGAATCCATTTCTTGCTTAAAATAGCTTCAATGTTTCTGAGTCCTAAAAATGAATCCTGACTAATTACTAACTTTTGCCTGATGTCATCCACATGAATGAGAAAACATGCTGACAGCAAAGAGAGATTAGAAACCCCTTTGAAAAATACATGCCTACTTGGTCTCTGAAGGCAAGGAATGTTCTTTTTATTTTTTATTTTTTCTACCAGCCCTTACACTGGTGAAAAGCTCCATGCGCCTCTTCAATGAATCGTATTGATCAGCCTATTTCTTCAACAAAGTCTTTGCATTAATTAAGTATAATAGTTCTCTTTCACTGACTCTCTGTTTCTCGCTCTGAAGCACAGTTCTCAACACACAGTAGGTGTTCAATGTTTACCTAACCGCCTGAGAGTATAAAAGATGAGATTCTGGTCTACGGTGCTGAAAAGGACAGCTCCTCTAGCTGCTGTGCGGAGACAAACCCTTGGAGTGGAAGGAAAAGTGGTGACCTCTCTCTGTGTGGAAGCTAAGAGCTCAGCTTTTCCCTAGAAACATAAGGAAGCCAGCCTGCAAGAAAAGTACAGAACTCAGCTTTCCAACAGACAAAAACAACCCAGAAGGGGGAGCGAGGACTTTCTTTTTCTCTCCCTGCTAAGAAGTCCCTTCGATGGGCTTCCAGGAAGTAGACCTTCAGCTTCAGAGAGCATGCAGGCTCTCCTTTCCTTCTCTGCTCCAATCAAGACCTAGTTTTAAGCAAGAATCAGGTCATCAGGTTGCATTCAGTACATTTTTAAAATTTTTTTTTCTGTGGGAGGCTATTTCCAGGAATATCAACAACAAAACCTTATATCATGTTGGAGTCAAGATGTTATTTCCTCTAGATTGTATGCTCTGGAGACTGACTGCACAGGCCCATCCTGGAGGCATGGGGGCAAGGGAATGGTATACTTTGTTCACTTCAGAGTGTTACCTACAAAGCCAAATGTGTGATGCACAGCTGTGATCCCAGCACTCAGGAGGTAGATGCAGGAGGATCTTAAGTTCAAGGACAGCTTGGGCTACACAGTGAGATCCTGCGTTAAAAGGAAAAGGAAATGAAAAGAAACGAAAACAACAACAAAAACCTAGGCTCAGTGGGGGATGGCTTGGTGGGTAAGAGAGCTCACCGGGCGAGTGGAGTTTAGATTTCCAGCACCCACATGAAAGGCATGGCACGGCCAAGACACCTGTATCCTCAGCGCAGGGGACAGACAGGGGGGCGTCACTGGGACCTCCAGTCTAGCTGAAAATGCTCCGGGGCCAGTGAGAGACCGACTCAAGGCGACAAGGCAGAGATCATCAGAGCACGGCCAGCATCCTCCAAGCATGAGCAGACACCCATGCACACATGCACATACACACAAGCCTTGTGCATATCTAAAAATGCACCCTTACGTTTGTGGTAGATTCAGGAGAAACAAGCATAAGTTAATGGTGACCTTAACTCTGTGTGGCAAGCAGACTGACACTAGGATAGAAGAAACACTTTAACAGTTATGTATCTCCCAGGGTGACTACCTGGGGCTTTACATTTTTTCACCTTTTACAAAAAAAAAGATGAGAGAGCACCCAGGTTATATAGATTTGTCATCCATGGAGAGCCAACCCCTGGTTCTAACAGTGGAGGGATAAAAACAGAATGTAAAATGGCTTATGATATCACTAGTATATATTTTCTTTGACGAAAAGATTAATTTCCCCTCCTGCTCTGAAATAAGGCTTGAAGCAAAATCTTCACTTTGAAAATGATACTTGAAACCAAACCTGACTCTCCCTGCTTGACTAGACTTAGGTATTCCATCCGAAACCCTGAACACATCACATGCTGTGAGCCCCAGAGGGGAAGTTCAAAAGGGCAACCCAGGGGAAGTGATGTCAGTGGCTTTACTATTCCAAGTCCTGGGGGACAAAGTTTTGTCAATCATCTTTATTTTCTGAGTGACACTAACAGAAGTCCCAAGCAAGACACTCGTGTCTTTCCAAAGCGCTGACTGAAATTTCATATTTACTCCACTGGTCTCCCTCCTACCATCCTTTTAGCCCTTGGTACTTAACATAGTACTTAACACACTTAACCAAGTACTAAAGGGTGAGCTTTCTGGCTGGAACTTTGTGAGCCATCAAGAATAATGCCAGTCACACACAAGGTGAAGTTAGGGCACTTACCAGAACTTTCAATGCCAAGCTCCTCAGGTGAGTTCTTTCCACAAGCACAAGATCCTCCCATCTGGGTTCCAGATTCAGGACCCACCCTAGCCAAGGCACTGCCTATTACAAAAGGGAAATCCTGGCCACGTTACAGGGATTCACCTCTGAACGAAGCACACCACTGACATGTCTGGCACTCAGCGGAAAGGTTCTTTTAACCTAAGTCATGTTTGCTCCTGACTGCGATGACAGCCGGAGCACAAGATGCTGAGGAAATGGAGAGGGCCGCTCATGGACTTCTTGTACACGCATGTTGGCTGTCCCTAAAAACATCACAGAACTCCGCCCACAAAGAGTCTCAAAATCTCACTCGAAACCACACTGGGACCAGGAGGCGGTGGCACAGGCCTTGAATCCCAGCACTCAGGAGGCAGAGGCAGGTGCAGCTCCAAGTTCAAGGCCAGCCTGGTCTACAGAGCAAGTTCCAGGACAGCCAGGGCTACACAGAGAACCAAGTTCATCTCCAAGACTAATTCCAAACACCAAGGCAGGACTGGTACTGCCAAAGTACCAAAAATATGTAGCAGCCAGAAACAATCTAAAGTGGCTTGCTATTCCCAGGCATTATAAACATCAAAATGTATAAACAAGAAACTTTGAATGAAAGGGGAAACATCTAAGGAGAACTAGAGATCTGAACAATTTGACAGTCAAAAGCCCAAAGGGGGGGGGGGGGTAAGGAGCTATGATTACATTTAAAATTTATCTTCAAGTAATGTAATTGTTCATGTAAAAACAAGTAAGTCAGAAAGATAACTATTGCGGATGAAAATTTAAAACTAAATATTCAAAGTTAGCCCTTTCCTTTTTTTTTTTTACAAGTTAGCCCTTCGTAACGACTTACTTTTATAAAGTAGGATGCAAAGTATGTAAGTACATAAGACAAGAAACAAATTACTATGAATATAGTAAGAATGCCTTCTAATTAGAATTATGGAAACTATTAAATGCTATAAACTGTACTTGGAGGGATTCCCATCTTCTAAAATAACCAAATATATACAAGTGATTAAGGAATTACAATGGCAATTTAACTCCTTTTTAAAAAAATGAAGAAAATTTCATTAGGGGCATGGAACAGGGGGTTCCTGGGAAACTGGTGAAAAACAGGACACAGGGAGAAAGGCCCTAGGAGGGAACCCTGGGCCTGGCTCCTCTGAGATTTGGCCAATGCCAAATATAGGCGAAGATCTAGGATGAAAAAAAAAAAAATGCGTTGTCTGAACCATATGGCTGTTGAGGACTTAGGCTGTACAAGGACTTAACCACTGTACCTGCTGATCCTGAACTCCCACGAGGGACAGACATACTTTCTCCCTCTAATTATTTCTACACTCATGGCTTTGTCCCCACACGCACACCTTTCCTAACACATTTTGCGGTGAGACTCCTCAAGGTACAACTTTGAAATACAGTACGAGAGCCCAAGAAATCAACACGAGATTTCAAAGGCACCTGACTCTTGAGTTCACACAAGCTTCCGGGACTCGTGAGCCTGCCCAGGCAGGCGGGAGACACCTCCACTTCTCTCTGGACAAATACCTTTAAGAGGCGGGGACAAGCCACAGAAGAGGTCCGCCAGGTCCTTGATTGGGGAACTAAGGTTACTGATGACAGTAACCACCTGCTCCCCAGAAACCTTTCCAGATCTGGAGGGGCACAGGGAGGGAGGGGAAGGGGGGTGGGGAGTACGGAGGCTCGTGCTGGGGTTTCAGGAGTTGATACTTGAGCGAATCCGAGGAAGGTGAAGACCAGTGTGCCAGGCAGGGCCTGCGGCTCTGGAGCTTCTCTGTAGCCCCTACAGCCCGCTTCCCTACCCAAGCCCGGGCTAGTCGCTCCCCACCCCTGACCTCTCCTCGCCCACCCCAGGCCTCATCCTCCCCTCCCCACCCGACTCCGGTGCCCGCCTTCTCCTTACGCTGAATGGGCGGGTAGCAGCTGGGGTCCTCCGCGCCGGGTTGGCAGCGGCTGGAAAAGGCGCTGCGCGGGGTCACGTAGTTGCTGGGGAAGATGCCCACCCGCTGGTTCAGCTGTCCGGTCCACCAGCCCTCATCGCCGGATACCTGCGAGTCCTTGGACAGCACCTCTACGACGTCGCCCAGCCGCAGGGTCAGCTCGTCCTCGCCCGCCGCCTCGTACTCGAACACCGCCGTCCAGTAGGGCAGCGCGGCGTGAGATCCCAGCTCGGCCGCCGCCTCCTCCTCGTCCTCCTCTTCCTCGGCCCCTGCGCCCGTGGCATCCTCCCCCGGCGGGGCGGCAGCGGCGCTCGCCAGGCAGCCGAGAAGCGATCTGGAGGACTCCATGGAGCGGCCGGTCCATAGGGTGCGGGGCGGCCGCCCGCGGGAGCCGCCGCCGCCTATTGTTCATGCGGCTCGGCAGCGCTGGGGGCTCCGCGCCCCCGACGGCCGCCGCAGGTAGGGCCCGAGCAGGCGGGGCGCGAGGGAGCCGAGGACGCCCGGTGCGCACCGTGAGCGCGCACCGCGGACAGGGGCGCGGCGCAGTGCCCGCCGCCTGGCGCCCCCGCGGGCGGCCTCGCCCCTCGGCGGCTCCCACCTGCTCCTGCCGCCGGTGCCCGCCGCCCGCCGGCCGCTCCCTCTCCGCCCCGCCCCGTGCGCCCCGCCCCCCGCACGCCCGCGACCACCTGACGCGAGTCTGGCTCCGCCCCAGCCCTGCGGACCCGGGGGCGCGGCCTCCGGGATGGGCCCGCCCCCGTAGCCAGCCCGTCCTCCCATTGGCTCGCCGCGGCTGTCTGTTTCCTGGCGGGGAGGCAGCGGCCTCATTGGGTAGCTGCGGAAGGTGAGACGGAGCAGGCGTTCGGACGGCGGGAGCGGGTCGCGGAGCGCTCTCGTCTTTGTCTGAGCCGTTTGGTCCTATGGGTAGCGCCAGTTTCAGGTTCGGATGACCAGGCTCTTGGGTCGGCTTCCCCTCACCCCGGTCGACCGTGGGGACCGGCTTCCGTCCCCTCTCGCCTCCACGCGCACACTCGCATCCAGGAACCTCATGGCTTACGATGGAAGAACTCCTGGGATTGCTCTGCTGGCCTTAATGAAGACTGCGTACGTTTTGCGAGAAGACGTTCCAGGCCATCGTTGTTAAAATTCCGAAAGGGGAAGTCACCTAGTGGGGTTTCCGCAGTCTCGGGGAGTCGGGCGAAACCGGCTGGTTAGCTCTTGCCTTGTGGAGTCGGCTGTGTCTAGGACCCTGATAACTGGCTATACATCCAGTCAAGGACCAAAACAGAGTAAAGGCTGGTGCTGCCACTCTTGGGCAAGAGCTGACCTATGCTTTGTCCTTTTGTTACACTCCCCCGCCTCCCAAGATTAAGAAAGAACAAGATAAGAGGACCTTAACCTATCTTATATGCTTTTATCATAGCGACGACTTCTATATTTCAAAACAGCCGTGATATCTACCAAACTGTATTACGCTTTCCGAGACGGGAATAGATGTGGTTTATTTAGCAAGGGCCAGTGTTTCACTGTTTGTTTCTGTTTTATGGGACAAGATCTCACTGTGTAGCCCAGGCTGGCCTCACACTGACAATCTTGCTGCCACAGCTGTCTGGATACTGGGATTACAGGCATGTGCCACCGTGCCCGGCCAGACTATTAATTTCGTTTGATTTTAATTTGAGGTTCGTTCTTAGGCAAACGGGAGCAATTTGGGAAAATAGTCAGGCAGCTATGTGACCTTGGGCAGGCAGTTATCGTTTACTGCTGCTGGCCCTTCCCTGAAGGAAGGAGCGAGGAGAGAAAGAAAGGTCTTCCGTATTTTAGGTCGGACATACAGTGGTTTGCAGGCGACTGTGACTACACTGTGAATGTAGAAACTGTTTGCATTTAAGGGCGTAGGAAGAAGATGAGATGTGCCGTTCAGAAGAGAATCCAGAAGGTCCCCAGGATCGAGTCCCAGAAAGAAATTCCCTAACATGTTCAAGTTATGTATAGGAGAGTCTAACATGTTCAGGTCTAGGGAGGGCCAGTAAACTGGAAAAGCGTGAGTCTGTGTAGATTCTCTGATGTTAAGATGAAACCACTCCACCAGCAAGAGTAAGGGAGAGGGAAAATAATCAGTGTTTTAAATATTTTATTTAATAAAATTTTCGTATGTGTGAAAAAGGAGTTTTACCAAGCAGCTGAAGAAACAAACATACTAGAGGGGCTGGAGAGGTCACAGAAGGGACAGGAGCTCCACAAGAAGACCGACAGAGCCAAGTAACCACAGGCCCAGGGGGTCCTGTGGAGACTGAAGCACCAACCAAGGACCACACATGGACTGGACCGAGTCCCCCCTTTCCCCCACAGATGTAGCCGAAGGGCAGCTCGGTCCTCATATGGGTTCCCTAGTAAAGGGAATGGGGCTCTGACATGGACTCTGGTGCCTACTTTTCGATCACTCACCCCTGGTGGGGCTACCTCACCAGGCCACAGGGGAAGAGGCTTCACTCAGTCCTGATGCAACTTGATATGCTGGGGTGGGTGGTTGGGAGGAGCTCGCTCCCTTCCATGAGGAGTAGGGGAAGGAGGGTCAGGGAGGGAGGCTGGGTTGACTGGGATATAAAATGAATAAATTAAAATTCAAAACTGGAAGAAAAAACAAACAAGGGGCTGAAGAGATGGCTCAGTGATCGAGAGTCTTTCAGAAGACTCAGGTTCTGTTCCCATCGCTCACTCTGGCAGCTCCTGTAACTTCAGACACAATCTATTGACTTGTCTCCACGGGCACCAGAAATGTGCGTGGTGCAAAACATACGAGCAAAACGCACAGAATATTTGTAGGAAGAAGAAATCTGTTAAGTGTGGGTCTTCAAGTAGTAGGATTATGCCTAACTGGGACTTTTTAAATTGTCATTTCATTCCTCTGCTTGCCCATTTCCACACACCTCCTCTCTTCTCCGTGGAGCAGAAAAGAAGAATCCTTGCTCCCGAAGAATAAGGAAAGCTAACTCCCTGATCAATTTAAATATTTAACACTTCAGCGTGCACTTAGGACCTCATGAAGAGTCATTCACCAAACATTCCAACACGTCACTCTGTAAATATTTATCAAATGGATAAGTGCTAAGAATTCAAACCAGGGAAAGATCCTTCAGACCACAGTTGCCTGGCAGGGCCTCATGGTAGAAGCAGAAACAGAACTGGTCCCAGAGAGGTGTGGGGTGGAGTAGGAAAGAGGGAAGGAGCAGAGAGAGGTGAGAAATAGTGGGACGGTGAGCCCATGTTGATGGCATGAAAGGATAAGAAAAAATGCTGGAGACCTATTGAGACCGGATTGCAGAAGGCTTTGTAATTATTTGATTCACATTAATAATTATTTAATTGATCATTTAAAATTATTTCATGACAAAGGTGTTTGACGCACGGGCGGAAACTGGTCTGACTTGTTTCTCACAGCTCTCCTGGCGTCCCAGAATGCCTGGCACAGAGCTAGTCGCCTCTCTGGACAGTCTCACCTGATGGCTGACCTGGCTATACGCCTAGGAAGTCTGGGTTTTGTAGAGCAGACAAAGGTTATCACCGGGCCAAGGAAATGGTTCAGTGAGTAGGAGTGCCTGCCCCACAGACAGGAAGACCTGAGTTCAAATCCCTAGCACCTAGGTAAAAAGTTAGATTTGGCTGTGTGTGCCTGTAACCCCTGCACTGGGGGACAGATGGGCAGACTCCTCCCTGTCTGACCAGCCTAGCTGAACCACTAGGAGGTTATGAGTAGGGCTTTGGGTAAAGTGACTGTGATTTTGCCAGCCTTAGGCTCCTCACCTGGGGGTTGATGAATGTCGCTCAGAAAAGCAACATTTTCTCTACCACACTGGAAAGAATAGCACCAAGCAGGGAGAAGACAAGTGTCCATCAGTGACACAGTCGGCATTAGACTTAAATCAGATCATGCGATTATCCTGACTGCAGTCTGAAAAAAAAAAATCTGACTTTGTACAAGACAAGGTTTTATAATTATCTTTATTAATTATATTTTATTGTGTTAATTATATATGTTTCATTAAATAATTATATGTGTGTTTCATTAAATATATACAATTCATTATGACACTTTCAGACTTGTATATAATATATTTTTTATCATCAACCCCCATTACCTTCTCTTGTTCTCCTCCCATTCCCAACTAGTCCTCCTTCTACATTTGTGTGTGTGAGTGTGTGTGTGTGTGTGTGTCTGTCTGTCTGTCTGTGTCTGTCTGTCCCACCATGAAGGCTTTTTACTGAGCACGGGCACCTTTCCCCTGGCTACCTCACTGAAGAAAATGGCAGGGCAAGTTTTTAAGCTGTTTTCTCATTTGTATAGTAGCAGAACACACTTTATATGGACGTTATAGAGTTAAATAAGGAAGACACCCAAAGGATGCTGTTTAGTGCCAGCAGCCATATTCCTTTTTCTCGGTTTCCACCCTCAGATGCACCTTAGAATGTAGTGGGTCTGGACTAGGAGCTAAGCTGAGGTGGTTGAAATAAAATGAAAACTAAATTAAAATTGAGAAATAAGGAAGGCGGGCATGAGGAGAGAGATGAAAAGAAGGGGAGGGAGGAAAGAGAAGGGCCCATAAGAGAACGAGGCCTTGAATTTAAATTCTGATTGACGCTTACAGGCAAGGTAAGGGTAACCCAGATTCCTCACATGAAACTCAAGGCTAATAACATGATTTCTCTGGCCTCCCAGACTGATGAAGGGACATGATGGGTGATTTCTACTTAGCACAGAGTCTAGCACCTAATTATCCCCACTGATCCTAGGATTCAGTTCAGTAAGTGACTGCCGCCCTCCCGTTGGTTCTTTGTGGGAACATCTTATTTAATGTTTATTGGCCTGTATTCATAGTAAGCTTCGTAGACGTCTGTAACATTTGCCTTTGACCATATTCATCACCCCTCCCCCTCTTCTCGTCAGTCTTCCCTCCCCTCTAGTTCTCCTTCCCCAATTGCCCTTCTCCTTCATGTTATTTGTGTGTGCGTGTGTTTAAACATATATGGTATGATATATCTATATAAAGTGTAGGCTCTGTAAGTGAAAAAATATGACTACATTTGTCTAAGCCTTCCAGCAAATGATGTAAACTTTTTAAAAGATTTTATTTATTAGTGTGTGTGTGTGCGTGTGTGTGTGTGTGTGTGTGTGCGCGCGCGTGCATGTACACACGTGGAGGTCAGAGGACAATTTTGTGAAGCCTGTTCTCTCCTCCCACCTTTATGTGGACTCTAGGAATCAAACCCAGGTCATTAATTTGCATGGCAAATACCTTTACCTACTGAGCCATCTCACCTCTTTTTTTTTTTCAGGTCCTGAAAAAACGACCTGATTTCGTTTATGGTTAAATTGAACTCTGTTGTGTGCATACCCCACAGTTTGCTTATCCACTCCCCTGACGATGGACATGTAGGCTATGGTAATTGGCTATGGTGAATACGCTGCCATAAACAGGAAGTGCCAACTGCCTGGGTCACAGCTGCAGCCCTACTTTCAGTTTTGTGAGGAACCTCCTTGCTGATTTCCATAGGGTCTGCACCGATTTACATTCCCACTAGCAGAGTGTACTGGGAGAACGTT